TACTCACAGTTCACAATGGTCTCCAGTGTAACCGTCAGGACATTGCGTGCACACGAAATCGTCGCCTTCGGCGGATGCCAGCGCGCAGTTGGGGCTGAAGTTGTTGGAGGGCAGGTACAGTGGGCACGCACATGGCTTGCACGCTCCCTGACATATTCAACAAGAAATATATTTTGTTACCAATAGCCAATTACATAGGAATACATTTTTTAAAATGGCTAATTCATACCTGAACAGGGTTGCCGTAGTGTCCAGGCAAACAACGTTCACAATGCAGTCCCGTAGTGTTGTGCTGACATTGACCGCAAGGTCCATCGACTTAAAAAATAAAATAATAAACGTTGTTATTTCCTAAAGACTGTACAGTTGTACAATTTAACAAAATCAGGCTGTACAGTTGTATTTACCTGTACGGCACCCGGCGTGTTCGTTGCAGGGACAAGGCACGCACTCAAAGGCGGGGCGCGAACCGGGAGCGCGCCGCAGCCGGGCGTGCGTCCACGCGCAGAGCTCACAGTGCGCACCCGCGTACCCCGGCGGACACGCGCAGCGCTCGCGAACTCCACCTGCCGCGCCACGCACCTCCACACCTTCCATGCGGACCTATCATGTACATTTTAGAATCCATAATACCATAGTACTATCGTAGAAAGCAGAGTTTTAACCCCAAATTCAGCAGGACCAGCAGCTTGTTCCACTACTGATGTTCCTAAGCTCACCTCGTCCTGATCGTTGTGAAAGTGCGCTCGGATCATGAGAGCATGCACGTCGCTAAGCATGTCGAGTAAGTCGGCACGCGTGGCCATGTCGCCCAGTTCCGAACGCCAGCCACCCTCCACAAGCGCCGCCGTCAGCTCTAGCCGGCCCGGCTCTTCGTGGCTGCTATTGCTATACAGCAATCGAGTCCCATCTAAAATTAACACATTTGTATTTTTTACAACACAGTCATATTATAACAACGCTGTCCCGAGGAACTAAGTGTAATAAGTTTTTTGTTTTTAAATCATACCCGCTGCGACAAGTATGACATCGGGGCCGGTAGTAGGACTTCCTCCAGTGTCGCCGCGTGCCACTCCCCAAAATATACTGGATCTGATTTCTCCGCCATACGCCGATAGTTGCTCTCCATTGAATGTGTTTGTCAACCAGTAGTAGTTCTCCCAACCTTCTATCTGAAAGTAGAAATGTGTGAAAAATGAACTGTCTTAAATGATTCTGCGATAAAGCAAGAATTTTTTGTTTAGAGACATCACTTACTTCATAACTAATAAGGAATGGTCTACCCTGCTCATCGACTGAGGGTTCGTAAGTCTCCTTTGCATCCAGATCACTGATGAGCCAAGCATCTCCGAGGGGCAGCACCATCTTTCCTCAAAAACACAAAATATGTTTATTAAATTTAAATACGTAATTGACATACTAATGTATATTCAATGGATATGCAAGCTCCAAATGTTATAATAATTTGATAAAGTTTTTGGGCTTACGTCCCGGCCGGGCTCCCTGTCCGCGCCGCAGGTGTCGGCGACGTGCGAGCAGTAGCAGGGCCGGCAGCCTGCTGCAAGTGCCGCGCTCAGTCCGTAGTGTCCAGCCGCACACGTGTCGCATCGCTCACCTATCACGTTCGCCTTAAAGCAATACAACAATGTGCTTAACTTTTGAAATAATAACCAGAAAAAAAAAAACATATTTTATGAACCACAGACTTAGTTATACTGACATTTGCTAACTTAGCCAGCTAAACTGGCAAAGTGCGTCGATTTGATAGAAATTTGGCTGTTTAATTTCACCAAAAATACTTACTTTACAGTTGCAAACTTCGTCACAGATGCGTGTGGGGTCGACGATACCCCTAGGGTCACATTTGCAGGCGGGTGTGGTTACCTCCACCGCACAGCCGGGAAAGGCGGCCTCGGGGTCCATGCAAGCATCGCACTGCGCTCCCCTATAGCCAGGGTGACACCTGCATATTGCGCGGTGCAGCTTCTTGTCCCACTCACACGACCCTGGAAGGGAATGTTTAACTCAATGTAATGGAGCGATATGGCCAAGAGATGGCGTGCACTATTAACAATAATTTGGTCAGAAATACGTAATCTGGCAAAAGTTGTGTCCATATTTATTAAAAAAAAAACTGTCCTACCATCGGAGCCCTCTGGGTCGCACTCGCAGAGCACGCAGGGTCCGTCGGGCAGCGCGCTGTAGTAACCCGGCAAGCATCGATCGCACAGCGGCCCAGCACGATTGTCCTGCACACAGTGTTGGGTTAGATATGCAAAATTATACAATAACTTTTAACTTTCTATAGTCAAATAACTGACCGTGCAATTAACACAGAGTATAGCTCCAGTATCGTCGTAGGAACAGTTTCCGCGCTGACCGCACGAGCAGTCCGTGGCGGAGGGCTCGGCGAGCATATCACACGACACGCTCGGCCGCCACGCACCGCCTGCACAGCACCTCTCGCAATGTACACCGCACGCGCCGTGCGAGCAAACACACTGCGCACCCTGGAGGACAATAAATCTTCATATAATAAATAACAAGCGTGCCAGGTATTGTCTAAGTGACTATAGATATGTGACCTCAATATCGACGTTACAGTGGTCGGCGTGTCCGTGGCATAGACATCGGGCGGCCAGGGTGAGCTCGCGCACCGTGTAGTACTGCTGCCGCGTAGGCGCAGCGTGCGTGGCCCGTAACGATACACGCACGCGTCGTGCCACTACGCCCTCGCCCATGCCCACATGCATCTAATAACATGAGAGCACGAAACATTAAAAAATAATAATAAATTAAAAGCGCCTGTCAAAATAAATTAGCAAATACTTCTGGCAGGCGTTTGACAATTCAACAATAACACCGTTTGCGAAATTGTATTGATATCTAATACACTGAATACGAGACAAAACTTACACTGTTGTAGTTATGCCTACTTAAACATATATCATCAAACTCAAAAGGTGATTCATTGGGAAAGTACTACAGTAATAACATAATTATCGATAACATTGATATTACTCATAGTATGATTTAAAAGATTGTGTACAATATAGTTATGAATTTTAAGTGCAACCACCATCTTAATTCTAATACGATCTATGAACGAAAAATCTAAAGTCCCACACCTCTCCGTTTTCTAGCGGCCGTGGACTCGCGAATTGCGTAGAACACGTTGGCTTGTCCGATCTGTTCATCCTCTTAGTCCCTCTGACTTTTCTCCTCCTTCGCTCTGGCCTCAGATCCCACAGCCTCTTGCAGTGCTCCCGGTCTCCAAACGCCCGTATTAAGTTCCACTCCTCACCCTCTTCTGTTGGAGATATCTCTAAAGACCAGGCTAATGGTCTCGGCGATGGTCCGGACTTTATGATGACATGCAAGAGTTCCATTTTCTGAAATTAGAAATTGAAATAAATTAATCATCAAATTAAAAAAGTATATTTTTAACTGTAAATACAAGAACCACGTATTTACTGTTAAGAACAAAATTAGTACCGTGATATAGAATTGGCGCAACTCTAGATTATCGGCATAAACGTCACGTCCCTAGCTGACAGCTGTCAGTGTCACTAGAAGTGTGGATATTGGCGCGCATCCTGAGTCCTGACGAGAAGTGTTGCTCTGAGTTTAAAGCGACAGTATCAATTAAATAAGTTGTCTAAAACTACACATGTAACTAGTATTACTAAGTAGGATTAACAAAAACCCTGTTACCCAGATTTTATGAATCAGTTAACTTTCTAGGAGCAATATTGTAACAATTCTGTGTACAATGTCTATCAAGTTTGGCAAACAATGAATGATAAAAGCACTGTAAAACTAAACTGTACAATTACTTTACGCGTGGGAAATTTTATTATAGCAATAAAACAAACAATAACAGACATGTTAAATAATTTAGGATATTTTTAAAAAGGTTACGTTGTTCTCATATTTAACAATACAGTTGCTGTTATCGTTAAAATTTAAAGTTCTTAGAATTAAGCTACTAAAGTAATGAAAGTTCAAATGAAATCCAAACTCCCTTAAAGGGAAGCTCTTAAGTGAGATGTTTTGTGTCAATGTGTGATGACAGTTAATGTGTCTGTTCCATTAATGACCGCAGCAGATGCGTCGGCAAACAACAGCCTGCGTTACACTGACAGTGAATACTGCATCTAACATCCGCGTAGTGATGTGCCCGTACTAGTGGTCCTTTTTCTCAAAACCGTTCCTACATATTAGAATAACGTTGTATAAAAATTATAAAAACAATTTAAAGATTTATTTTAAAATAAATTATAAATACGGCGTTTTGAAATTCATTTCCACCAAAACTGAAGAACTTTTTACAATCTAGTTAAATCTTTCTTTTTTTAAAGTTCTCTATATCTTCAGTCCAACTGTTCAATTTTAATAGAACTGTTGGAATTTAGTTTTAACGACATTGTAACCATTTTGAAGTTATTTTCAATAGTCAATATACTAAGACCACTAACAACAAATGTACATCACTAGCGCTGTACTTCGTGTGCTTCTTATTAACACTATTAAGCTCAGTGTCGGCGCGGCGTGGCGGCGGCGTGCTGCTCGCTGTGGGAACAACGAAAGCTCGGAACTAATCGATCTATTAAAGCTTACGAAACTTTTGTTAAGTTTCAATCGACACAACTCGCACCCGCCACGATATCTTTAAAGTCACAGTTCAATGCTTTTTGATATACTATCGAAGTTAGTGTTTCCCCAATTACTAATTTGGTAGTTAGATAATAAATGTTTTTTTATTCAAGGTATTTGGTATCGGATCTTATTTATAAACATAAATCTATACTAAAATAATAAAGCGTAAACACGCACTACTTCGTGGCATAGGGCGTCAGCAATCACAGCATATTTTTGAATAACTCTTTCTTTAATAAAGCCCCACATGTACGACACTCTATATATTTTCATTAGGCTATACATCACGCTATTAAGCTTAGGGGGTAAATAAATTGACAAAATCCTCACGTGGGAAAGGGAACATAAACTACAAGCTAACGGTAATTTTCCCATTTGCAATTGAGAATTTGACAAATGTAAACAATAAAATAAAGTTTTTATAATTTCCTGCGGATGAAGCCGCACGGGAACAGCTAGCTATTTTTATAAGACGGATAGTAAGTAAAACTTTCTGAACTTACGAACTTCCTGAACGAAAACAATATCGTAGTAAATAGATCTTATGTATTTTTTAGTATCGTAAGTAAACTTTTATGTTTACTGATAAGATTCTTATTTAATAAAGGAAGTCTTGTTATAACAAAATAAATATTCAAAGAACTTTGTTCCTTGATATTTAGATTACAGTTATTTTTATTCAAGTTAAAAAATTTCTTAAAGATCCGTAGATTGAGATAAGCTGTTTACAAGACAAGAAGGTTCATTAACGAGTTTATATCTCAAGACAATTGATTTAAAAGTGAACAGTATATTAAAAATGAAATATTATGTTAATTAAGGGTGGGATGTCCACTTATGTTTCGTTTACGACGGAGGGAGCCACAGACAAGCCTTGTATGGGGCCACTAATGAGGCTGCGGCGCGGGCGCGCGAGGCACGCGGCTGTCCCCAGTTTTTCCCATTCCTTCGACCTTGTTATCTCGGCACAGTTTTGGACATTCTATCAGCGGCTTTCTGCGTATTTCGACGTTTTGTCGTCTGTGCATTTGAAAGCCTGTAGTTTGTTTTAACTTTGGTCCGTAACGTTTGTATCATTTAAGTTAGGTAGTTTGTTTTCAGTAATCTTTATAAATTCTAGTCTAAATACATATGCCTGTGTGTTTGTTTGTACGTATATTAATATTTACTTTATTTGTGTTTATTTTATGCCAATTTGCTTTAGGTAAAAATAGATAAATATTATTTATATATTTCTTATAAGGAAAGGATGAAAGGGGAAAGTGGATTCGACGGCGGAGTAGACGCAAAGGAAGGGGAAATATCCTCTTTATGAGCGTGTCCTCCTCCTTCGTTTAGGGGTAGGTAACGCATCTGCAATTTCGGATGGCAATTGGCAGCGGTCGCTTTGTCATTTTGGTGGATTCAGGTGGTCACTTGCTTTAATATAGATATATATTTATGTTGCAATATTAAAATAGCATGTAACATTGTTTGTGAAAGTTTGATTACTATCGGATGATATTAGTCATCGACATCAGTGTGACTCAGTATCGTCACAATAAAAACGATAACGCGAATTAATCTGTGATTATTATCTATTGATTGTTGTAAAATAATTTGATACACTAAGACAAAATGAAATTCAAGATTCTCAAATCCGTGTCTGTAAGCGGTAAGATAATAAAGTGAATTGAACTCAGAGACGGGAGATTTTGAAACAAATGGTGGAGCTACGTCGACAATTTTCTTGCAAAATTATTGACAAGTAGAAATTAGCATCCAGTAACCTTCATATTGAAAAAGTCGTATTGATGAATCAAATTGCTTTTACAAGTGTAGTAATATTTTTAAATAACAGCTATCTTTATAATACAACAAGCCCTTGAATTTTGAGAATGTTTTCATTGATTTGGCAATTTTATTAAAAATCATTACAAACTTACCTTTATTAGTTACCTTTTCAAACAAGGGCTACATTTAAAAAAACAAAAGCGACCCATTTATCCCGCAACATATCGGAAGCCTACGTTATCTCACTGATAACGATTAGAGCCGCTCGATATTATATCTAGTTTTCAGTCAGACTGTAGTCGTGTAGTATATAGAGATATTGTCATGTGAGACAGACGTGAATATGTCCAAATCGACCAACAATCCAGAGACGAGTCTACAAGATGTAAAGGTTCACGTCATGAGACATTCTCGTGACTCTACAAATGACAAACGGGGAACTCCTAAAGTGTCTAGAAGTGACTTTGTATATGTGAATTCTGCTTACGTTGGTAGTGTCAATAGTGTTGATCGTGTTGTTGAGCCGCCTACCAGGTGGGTTTTTACTACAGATAACTTTTATTATTGCACTGATTAATTTCTCCTCACACTTTACATACGTTCCATAGAATCATTATTGTATAATTGCTATTGTTTCGGCTGTCATGCAACATGTATTTATACATGATTATTATCTCTTTCTTGACAAGCAGCATGTAAGGGATAGTCGTACTCTTTATTTAAAACGTTGTCAACTTTTTTCAATTACTCTTATGGAATATTTTATAGGTTCAGTGATGCTGGATTAATAAGATACAGGAATGCGATATAACCGAACTTGACGTTTAAGTACTTGTAACAATCTCTTTGTACATTTAAAAACTATTTAAACCAATGTAGAAAGTATAGAGTTTAGAAAATTTGTGGGATTTAATTTTTATGTACATTGTTTAAATTGCTAGTATATGTTGCGGTCATATCTTTTTGTTTCCATTGATCTGTTTGCAAGCCGATAAGATAGGCAAGGTTGCAGGAGCGGCGACATCGATCAAACGCCAGCCGATGACAGATTATATGGATAAGTTTGAATGAAATTATATAATTTAATTGCATATTAAACATTTAGATAAAGGAAATATTAAGTACCAAATACAAACTGCACATTAAGATACCTTTTAGAACTACAATGGGTGTACTAATGAAGCTATTTCCAGTTATACTAGGCTAAAACTTGCATTATTTTGCTTGTAATGCAAGTGCATATTTTTTTCTTCCAGTGTAATACGTGAGCAGTATTGGACGTGTTCAAAATGGACGTTCGCGCAGAGAATAATGGCGATCGCTGTAGCTGTGCTGACAGGCGCTGTCGTTGGTCTTGCATTGACCGTGGCGCTGAAGAAAGGTGACACTGACAATATACCAGGGTTATTTAGAAACAACCTAGCACCCGATTGATGGCTACCTCAGTATCATTATAATTATTAGCAGCTCCTTTGTGTAAATTAATTAAATCTTTCACTAAGGGACTGGTTTAATCAATTGATGACTCTAAATCAGCAGTTAGTACATGCTAGTCGAAGCTTGATAACACAAGGCTCCTGAGTGAGCCCTCGAGCTTAGTTACTCATAAACGAGGTTAGGCTAAGCGCCATCTGCGCTCGGCCACTACAAGCCCGGTGGATTTGTAAATGCCTCTTCAAGGCAAACAGTGGCCATTCAGTCACAAAAAAAATTTGATCAGACAGACAAAACTATTATTAGAGAAATATCCTTTTATTTTATCTACAAATCGACTAATGGTAGCTTCGCTTTGTTGAGAAATGTTATTTGTATTTGTAGACCCTAGATATCCCATCGTATACAATAGTCGAATCTATTATAATTGCTATGGGTCATTCTAGTCGGACATCGCCTACGCTTAAAGGTATCAAGACTTTTGCATATTTGTCATTTTTGAATGTACAAAGTTTATGATTGATAAGTAAAATGAAACTAATGTAATATTATATCTAATCCATATATTTTTATGATAATTCGTACGTATGTCATAATACCTTGATAGTATAATTATGTAATAATAATTACATTTTTTAAACTATCGTGAGACGTTAAGCGAAAATTAAAAACGGCTCAACTCACGCTTTTATCCTCCGGTGACGGCACCGACTAGTTTCAGAACATTCGGGGGTCCTTCGTCAGGGACAGTATTACTCAGATTTTGTTCGCGGTCACGTCGTGTCTCGCACTCAGTGCCGAACCGGAGTATAAAAACAAGAGTTGAGCCGTTTTTAATTTTCGTTTATGTAAAAATAGGTTTTATATTGAATATGAGTGAGACGTTTGTGTGTAATATTCATAAGTATCAAGCATTTATCTACAAAGTTGTGTATTGTATGTGTTTGTTAATTTATACGCAATCAAGTCTATTATCTTGTGTTATGTTACAAAGATAAGCTTTGAAGATCATTCATTGCAGTTAGCTTCAATATCCTTTTATAAATAAACGTTTATAAATAGAATGTTGACTATGTTAAGTGAAATATAAACATCTAACAGTGCGTTTTCACTGCGATAGTTATGTACGCTACATTCAAAGCCTTAAAACTTAGGAATAAACTGAGTATAAGCAAATATTAGTACAAATTTTGCCGCTATATAACTTTAAACTGTCGTGGTTTTTACAAATATAATGTTCGTAAGATACGGGTTTCTTACCACGATTGACTGTGCCGGCACACGACAACTGTGCCGAAATATCGGGGGCTAAAACAATTCAATCGTGGTAAGAAACCCGTATCTTACGAACATTAAATTTTGCCGCGTTTATTTGTAAGGCTGAAAATATTATAATCGGTAGTAAATTTCTATCTGTTTCGTCTGTCATGTTGCCATCCAAGTGTGATTGTAGGCTCAGATAATACTTGTCAAATATCAAAAATTTCATGATAAAGATTATCTTACGCTACGATTGTATTGGTCGAAATTTCTCGAATGGCTTATAATAAAAAAGTTAACTATTTATTATTTCCAGATGTGTATATAATTATTTTTATTTAATATATTGTAAATAATAGTTTAACTTTAAGGGACTGATTTGTTGTATTATACTTATGTTACATTTAATTTAAAAAGTACATTTACATAATAAAACATTTAAAAATGGTTCATTGTTTTATTATTTACCAACAACAATAACAATTGATATTTGTTAGATTTTTAACTATTTTGATATATTCCTTAAAGTTATCTGTACAAATATAATAAAGCGTAAATACTTTGTTGCCTAAGATGTCAGCAATTACAGCATATTTTTGAATAATTCGTTCTTAAATAAAAAGCCCTACACTTATGTCACGCTTAAGGTTATATATTTGCACGCCATTAAACTTAGGGGGTAAATATTTTGTTTAAAAACCCTAATGTGGGAAAGCGACCATAAATTTGCTACCAACATCAAGGAAGTAAGATTACTAAGTTTTGTCATGTCATGTCATGTTGACATTTGCAATTGACAATTTGACACATGTAAACAATAAAATAATTTTATGCTGATTAAATCGCAGGGAACAGCTATTCTTTATTTAAAGTAACGGAAGGAATAGTGGGGGTAGTTTTATAAAATACATGGCAAAGAGTGTCGGGCGCTCAGTCGCAGTCTCGGCCCTCAGTCGCCAACAAGCTCAGTATTTGTCTAAACATCGCCACGGAGCGTTCGATAATCTTTACGTTGTCGCCTTGAAAGTCAGTTTGTTTGTTTTATAGTAATTTGCAAGTATTTTTAAAATGACCGTCTGTCTATATTTAAAATGAAGTCATTTGGATCGAAATAACTAACATACTAAACATTGTTTGTTTAGCTAACTGTGTAAACTATGCTTATGATAATGCATTGGACATTGTATTTGGAATTTTTATACGCTCTTTGTTATCTTATCATTTACGTCAATCTGATAATTCTGTTTTTTCATTAAATATTGTTGTTCAAAACCATGATCTATGTCATGTGGGATTACTAAAGTATTTAGTTTGTAATACATAAGGCTTCTATAACATGAACTAATGGTTTGGTCAAAGTTGCGTGAGTACTCCGGAAGAGGGCACTAAACAAAACATTAGTAATACGATACCATTACTAAAACAACAGACTAAAATAAAGACTTGACACATGTTATTAGGTAAAAAACGTACATCCAATGTCTTCAAAATTGTGCTTTCTTTACTATGTGTTATTACTCACTATTATTTTTTGATAATTTCAATGAATTATCTTTACAACTTTTATCGATTCTATCACTAATAAATTACTTGAAATTAAATTTACAATCGATAATGATTACTGATCATAGAGGGTGTTCCGGGTTCACTTTCTTCAGTTATCTTTTAAAGTAATGTTAGGTACATAATCTATGTTGCTGGTACTAATATTGTTTTATACTTTTCCGATCAATCTTACTTCTAACTTCTTACTAATAACTGTTATAAATATAAAAGTTTAGATGGATGGATGTTTTTGAGAGTTTGTAGCCTAAGCGACTGAACGGATTTCGATTAAATTTGGCACAGATGTAGAGGATAATCAGGAGGAACACATAGGCTAATTTTGTATTTTTTTTAATTCCTCGTGGACAGAGTCGCGGGCGAAAGCTAGTTTAAAATGAAACGGGTTGAACCAATTAAGGTTTAATAGCCTCCAAGCGGAAATTGGATCAAATCATAAATATATGTTACCATCCGGGTAATTATTGTTCAAAATGACTTTAAAGTTTGTGATCGAAAATTTATCTTATTGTCTGATTGTCTAAGGTTCCCATTTAGTTTAAGTTTTAGGATTAAAAGCTAGTCATAATAATATTTTAAATGCTAAAGTTTAGATGGATAGATGTTTGTTAGAGTTTGAAGCCTAAACAGCTGTTCGAATTTCGATGAAAGGCATAGATGTAGAAGATTGTCTGGAAGAACACATAGGCTAATTACTCTAGTGTTTTTGGCTAATTCCACGAAGTCGCGGGCGCAAGCTAGTTGTCATAAATAACTACCTTAAGAACTGAGATTATTAAACTTTAATGAATGTTTCATAAGTACTATTAAAACAGGAAAAATTAAAAGAGGTAATAATAAAGATCTCAGAACAATATATTAATGGTAAAAATACTGGAGATATTAATGAAGGCGGGCGCCGGCAGACGCCATCCATCATCACGTTATCTGTAATTTATCTGATAGCGCCATGCCGCCTCCCAGCGACCTTCCAATCCTCTCGTACTAAAACTAAATTAAAAACTATACAATACAACAACAACTAACAGCTAAATTATCGTATTATAACCTATTAAAAGGACTCCAGTAAAAAAAAAACATTAAAAACACTTCACACTAAAACCCTTCATTTTTACAGTCTCGTAAACACTAGATTTATCACGACCTATGATTACCCATTTCATGCTTCGTTCACTGTTTGCGAGAGCCTTCAACCGTGAGCATATCCACAAACCAGAGCATGCGACAAATTCTTTGTGAATTTGTCACAAGGCTCTGTACCAAGCGACCGCCATTCATAACCACGAAAAATATCGCAGGTAACCTTTACGAAGTCTTGTAAAAACAAAGTCGGATAAATTGGACGGCAGTACAGTCACTGTCGTAATACTTTTATATAAGTTTAATATTTTAATAACTGAATAGTTAAAGAAAGCGCTATTAAAAACGTTTGAATTTTTACCTGAAACTTCTCTTCACGATGATACAATGTCAGAATTATGAAATGCTTTACTTCAAGAGTCCAGGACGGGCGTTAATTTAAATAAGACATGTAGCACGCGACTGTACTCATTAAACTTTCACGTGTCGGCATGCAGTTGTTTTTCAGAGCGATCAAGTTTCGCCGCGGCTGTAGGAGGGCGGAAAGTGGAGGATGTTTTATATTGGCAAAGGGGTCGCCGCAGGGAGGTAACTATCACGTCATAAATTTGCAACACGTGACGTAGTATGTTGGAATACGATCGTTTTATGTTTTGCAGCGTTCATTTATTTTTAAAAAGTCAAAGAAAGACTCAAATTACAAATACATTTTTTTAATAAATGTTTCTAAATTTAATCTAACTTAATATTTCGTGTTTAAGAAATAATATTTATTTTTGTCCTGAAAATTATAGGGTTGTATGGTCACCCTACATCAATGATTCACGTAGCGCCCCACGGCCCATTACGGCGTCCGCTGACGATGTAACGTAGATCGGTATCGAGGGCCTATTATCCCGATATGCGGCTATTTGCCCCCATTGTTCGCCCCACCCGACCCACAAGCGACTCTATTGTTACACAACGATTAAGAATTCATTGAGTTTTGTGGAAATTTAAAGTGTTTTATTTATTGGTACTTGTGTAGTTTATTGTGTACTTTGTCGAATAGTTCAAGAAGAAAATGGTGCTAAAATTTCTATGCTCATCCAAAACATCGGTCATTCGATTTGCTGCTAGTTCCAAAAACACAAAGGATTATTGTAGTGCCTTATTGTAGTGAAAACTAAAGTTATACCAAAACTATTTATCAAATTGAATTTAAATAGATAGAGTAGATCACAGGACATAAACAAAACAAGCCTGAAACGACAACAAGAGGATGAAGCCGATTTTTCGTATCTTTGGCTAGTTAACAAGGATTAACAAAGTCCGGTGTATTCATCAAACAATTTTATCCTAGTCACGCGACGCCCGAACAAGCATAAGGATAATTTATGTATGGAGCTGGGGCGGGCGCGGCGCAGGACATTCCGCAGTGACGGGTGGTCGTGCGAGCGACCTAATTTATTGACCATCCCTTGCCCCTTATCGACACAGTTAAGTGGTCGAGCTACTTTTTCATACTTTTATCATGTTTTTTTTCATAAACATTCTCAGCGTATTTTGTAAAATAAAATATCGGATTCGATCATATCTTATCTTGGATCGACGTTTTGTCATTCCGTGCGGCGAGCATTGTGCCACAAGAAAAATAACTTATTGTTACCATGTTATGTCAATCGATTTGTTATGGATTATACAGAGTTTTTACATTTAAGAAAAAAAACATAACTATAATAATTATTTTGTAGTAATCTTAATTTCGATTGTGAAGAGTAGTTTTTAGCATCAACCAGTTATCTGAGAAAAACTTTCAACACATCGATGACAAGGCTCGACTTCTGAATAAATTTTAATTGCATACATTATAAGGACTGTCCCTTAATAACTAACCCATGGTCACCCTAGTCGGCGCAAGCGCTACGACTGTTTTCGATTTATGGCTAAGATAAAGGGAGTCAATACTTGGCCTATGCTATCCGCCTAATAGCTCCCCGCACACTGCAATGTATTGCCGAGTTGCCGAGCCTTAACTAGACGAGGCGCCAGGCCCAGTGATGTTCCGTCGAGAACAATCGTGGAAAGTACACAATATTTCATTGGATGTTTGTTAGTAAATATCTACAAAACATCTTTACAAATCTACAAGAACACAATACTTTAGCTACTTATTCTTTTTCCGCCCGGACGAAGTCGCGGGCACAAGCTAATCGTCTTATATACCGATTACCGGTTAAAGACATTAATGTTGTCTTGTTTAAGATTCATAGGTGAATACCTGATAAAAGGAGAACATCTTATCATTTAAAGAGCATGTGACGATTCAAAAGAGTCTTATCAAGAAATTAAATATTCCATCTTCAAAGTCTACCTAAACTGCCAATTCTAGGCATAATATTGGCTATTAGTATATTTCTTGCTTGGTCAACTTTCAAGTTAGTATTTTGGCCCTGTCTAGATGTTTGTATCTCTATATTTATCATTATTTCACGCGGCATATCTGAACTGTCGCTAAAACGATAGTCACTGAGAGCATAAATTGCAGTGATAATGTCATTTAGAGGTTAAGAGCGGGCGCACTCCTTTGACTAAAGTATCGCACGACCGTTTAGTGTCGCTTAAATTTCTATGTTAGCCGATTTTTAGTTGCGCAACTAAACAGTTGAATTGACTGTGAAATAATCGACAATCGCAAAACAATTGTGCGATAGATTAGTCAAGGTGTGCTCCCGCTTTTAACAGTATGAAGATTTTGTGTTCAATTTATAACGACTACAGCAAAGTTATGCAGTAAACCTGAAGCATTGATATTGAGAGGTATTAAAAAGTGGTTATCATAAACAATTGTTTTGAATAAAGTAATCTAACTAATCTAACTAATATTATAAATTCGAAAGTTTAGATGGATGGATGTTTGTTAGCGTTTGTAGCCTAAACGGCTGAACGGATCTCCATGAAATTTGGCACAGGTTTAGAGCATAGTCTGGAAGAACACATAGGCTACTTTTTATCCTAGGAATAGTTACGGTTCCCGTGGGATTCATTAATTTAGTTTTTTAATGTTTACTCGATCATTCTGCAACAGTTCAACATATCTTATTGAAATTTGGCACAGACATAAAACAAAGTCTGGAGTACCCATGGGATAAGCTTCATCCCCGAGAAATGTCCGGTTCCCGAGGGATACGTAGCTTTTTGTAATTTACATAGTTCGTATGTTTTCTAATACCACGCGGACGAAGTCGCGGGCATCAGCTCGTGATTTCATAAATCATCGTTTAACAGTTAACATAACATAAACGGTTACATCTTGAACTTAACACAAAGTTCAAAGCATAGTAACAATGTTAAGGCTGAAAATGTTTATATTAGCGGGATAGCGGTAGCCCAACATACCATATTCGTAAGTAGGAAATAAGATTTTCATTGCAAAAATAAATCCTTCATATTTCTAAGACAATAGTTAAAGATGACAAAATACTCTCTCCAGTTTTTAATTTATTTAACCTGGGAGGTCTATCGCGAAAGTGAAAGTTAGGAAAGGTTATTAAGGTAACCTTTTAACTGGCTGAATATGCATTTTAATTATTATTGTTAATGCATATTATCATGAGAGAGCGTCGGTGGCTCAGTGGTTTAAGCACTTGACTTGTAATCTACAGGTCTTGCGTTCAAATCCCGCCATGTACCAATGTGATTTTCGATTTTTCGAATTTTCATATGTACATAATTTACCCGACGTTCTTACGGTGAAGGGAAACATCATGATGCAAACTGCACATATCGGCGAAGAAATTCAAAGATATGTGTGAGGTCGACCAACCCGCACTTGGTCAGCGTGGTTGACTATGGCCTAATCACCCTAATTTAGGATAGGCTCCGAGCCCCTCGGTGGCGACATATAGTGAGCTGGTGATGATATTATCATTTCTATTAGCAATATATTACACTGTCTGATTCTATATATGGATTTCTATATGGTAATCACTATCTATAAATACTACATTACATTAAAACATACTGTGGGAATAGAATAATTTTCACCATTACTGGAGATATGATTTATGTTAATTAAATCCATGAATCATTAGTTTAAATATGATATAATAAATTAATGCAGACGAAATCACGCATAAATTGTGGCACCATAGTTCTTTTCTCTGTATACACACGTTGCATCAATGAGAAAAAGTATGTAGTTTTATTGGTTTATTTTTTATCATAAGGTGACACACGAGCAAGCCATCTGACCTGAATCCGCCAAAATGGCGAAACGACCGCTGGCCATAGACATTCGTAATAGCAGATGCGTTGCCTATCCTTAATCGTCGAAGGAGGGGACGAATGAAAAAGATAATTCTTCTTCCTATGTGTTTCCTCCACCGTCAAATCCACGTTTCCTTCTCATTATTTTCTTGTAAGAATAAAGGTGAGATGAAAAAGGAACTAAAGTTGGGCCTCCAGCACCATATTTATCAAACGGATCGCGGAATTACTTCCACTTCACGCCTGTCTTCGGTGTGGTCGTGGTATTTCACCAGGCTAGCCTTCGGCCATTAAAGCGAGCTCTACCACTGTAAAGTTGAAGTTAACATTTACACATGAAATTATTTATGAAGTAGTTACTTACAGCAGGCAACGTTGCGATAAGCTCGACATGGCTGAACTCCTCGCCGCCAGCGAGTGTAGGGCTCTGCCACCAGGTGGCGGGGTCTCCATCTAGCGCGAGAGCCGCCTGGTGCCGCCGCGCCGGTGATCCATCGACACCCTCGCAGACGTCGCACACTAAACCCCGTCTAATAACATTTATACAGTGCTTAAATTAAGGCGCACATTCAACTGTTTTTATATCTAGCAATCATCACTGTCACTTACTTTCCCGGTGTATCTCGGCAGTAATCCTCGGGTCCATTGTCGCCGCAAGTAGCATTAGCAAAGACAGTCGAGTAGGCAGCGGCGTCGAGCGGTGCCGGCAGCAAGCCACCGTCCGCGGTACCGCCTCCTGGCACCTCGCTTAGCGTAGTGCTGCTCAAGCGGTCCAGCACGGCACGACCTGTGGACAAAGTTTAGTATTACATCCCAACTGAGATCACTTAAAACATTGTCCAGGAATTAAAAAAAACTGGTGGTTGTAGCTGCAACTACTACATAAAAGCTATCGTGTCAGGTTTACAAAAATCTTCATATAAATTTTGTTCGCTTTTTTCCTTTCATATCTTTCAAAATTAACAGTATAAAACCACCGTTTTTAAAGGTAAAAATAAGGTGTTAACCAGTAAGGTGTGTGTTTTATGACTTGACCCCGGTATCAAGTTATCGCGATGTTATTAAGTCGCTGACACCTCTTAACATAAAGTTACTTATTATCCGGCGTTGTCATGGCAACGCGTTAATTGAGAAATCTTGTAACTTCGAAGTTTTTATAAGGCTTTAACATAGAGTACAATTATCTTTACTAAATATATTTATCATCTAATATATAATGTTTGTGTGAATAACATTTTTGTAAAGCAAATCATTATACGCAGAATTGATAAAAATAAAGAAACATTTTTCAGTTAACTTCATTAACAAGTCCGAAGTATCATTTACTTAGATTAACAGAATTGCATCAACATTGCCGTCAAGTTTCCAAAAAGGAGATGGAAAAGGGAACGAAGCTCTTTGACAGTAAGTGAAAAAATGAAATGCCAAGCTCTTTTGAGTCCATAATCGCATCACAGTTCTGTAAAAAGTTCTATCCTACAATAATGAAGGCTTAATCTATGCAGCCAGGTGAAAGGTTACACATATAAGCCTCGCAATGGACATTCCTCTTACACAGCTGTATAATGCGGACATGTTATTGGACATTTTCATTGTCAGTAAGCTGTACAGTCGAGGAGTTTTATTTCCTGTCCGGTTTAGTGTCGCTTCATGCCCACAGTCTAAAACATATTAAATTATAGCTTTTACATTGATAGCTGTTCGATTTTTGATTCCAAATGGGTAGTGAATTTAATTCTTTGTATATGTACGGGTTCGAACAAGAGGTAATGTAAGCATTAGCATTTTATCAGTTAAATTTACGTTAGCTTAAAATCAATTCTAACCTCAAAATGTGAACCCGGCGATTGTGGACAGTTGTGTTCCTCTGCGGTGTTTATGAGCGTAATAAATTAAGACACATCTTAAAAGAACGGCCAGACTACAAAAGACCAACTATCAAAGACCACGAATAAATCATTATTGCGTAACATTAGTTTATTATTTTAATAGAAGTTTACTAAAGCAAGCAAAATTGTAAGTTCTGAGATTGGAATTAGATTGGAATCTTGATTTTACATTTTACTACACAAAATTCTTTTCTTTAATTAAGTCTCGATCTTAGGTTTATGATAAACTAAGTAATATAATCCGAGCCCTACGTCATTTGTTCATTTTTAAAATATTAGAATCATAAAACAATAGTCAATGGAAAAATTCCCAGGCGTTTAGTTGCAGTGATGATCTGCAGGCGTAGTGAAGTGCCAGATGCTAGTACGAGCGATAAACGTGCGTTCACACTAGCCGATAACTCATCAATATCATCGCTTGTGTACTGCCTTTACTATCGACGTCTATAAAGCGGATAGTTAACTGCCCAGCCTCTTGAGAGGTGCACATTGAACTTGAATGTACCAGGTACAGTCGCGTTGGTAACTGTTTGATTACTTTATTAGATTAATGACATAGTTTAAAATAATGATAGTCGTAATGATGACGTTTTATGTCAGACAAGATAGTACACTCGCCTACAATGCGCATACGTTTAGTTTGCTATTAAATTATTATGAACATAAAAGAACTGGAGTATGCTAGAGTGTGAACACTTGCGGTTTATTGCAAAGCTGACTGTACAATATTAATTAGTAGATAAGAGTTTAATTGAAATTGATCTATTAATTTTATTTATGATAGTACTAATAAACGTAATCGATTAATTTCTCTATAGATATTTTAAGGATTCTAGTAAAGAAAATTAAGCATTTTCATATTACACATCGGAATAAAATTCGGTTTATCTATTGGGTCGAACTCACAGGCCTAATTTAAGTCCCTTTCTCTTTACCACCCTTTTCTCATAAGGAGAGGTTGGGAAGGGGAAGTGGATTTGACAGAGGAGGAGATACATAGGACGGGAAAATATACTCTTCGTGTGCGTCTCCTCCTCTGTCGAATAAGGGTAGACAACGCATCTGCAATTGCGGATGTCTATGGGCAGCGGTCGCTTCGCCATTTTGGCGGATTCAGGTGGCCGCCTTCTCATTTGCCACCTTATGTTATAAACAAAACACACACACACATCTCTACAAACAGTTATAAACCAGTTACAAATGTAATCGATACCGTAAATATGATTTTGTATATCCACACTTCCGTAATTAAATATATTTCAACGTCCAACGAGTTCCATATAAGCTCCGCGCATATGAAGACGCTACAGGTTAGAACGAGCATATGCAAATGGCCTTTACCAACAGACATGTCAACGGTCCTCTACATTGTGGGAACATAAAATCGCAATACCATCTAATATGTTGAATAGAAACGCTTTGAGGTTATTTTCTGATCAGATAAACCGGTACGATCTTGTGTAATGTTAAATGAAAAGTATCAGTTCGAATCCTCTTACTAATATTATAAATGCGGAAGTCTGGATGGATGTTAGAGTTTGTTGCTTAAACTACCTAATGGATCTCGATGAAATTTTGCATAGATATAGAGGTTTTAATTCGTGGACGGTATTTTTTTTTTCATTTATTTGGGTAAAAGAACAATAGCACAAGAAAAAAAAATATACAGTACAATTCAAAAGTGTTGATTAGATGTGCCATCCACAACTTTACCACATAGTAACTATAATAATAAAATAAATCTATAAATAGGCTATACATTCGAGTGGTACTTAATGATATATTAATATTATTGATAATTCAAAGTTTTTATAATCTCTATTTAAAGGTTATTTTTAGTTACTTGTATGATATCTATATCATTAAAATTGGTATTATAAGAATTAACAATTCGATTAAGTGGTGACCGCAAGCCCGCATTAGTTCGAGACCAGTTTGTTGAAAAAAGTTTTGAAACATTTCTGGGATGAGCCCTTGTGGGGACTCTGTACGATATTCTTCTGGTTAAACAGATGCAGTCGTAGCTATTATGGCACTGGTCGTGGAGTAGCACCGCTTCATGTTGAAGTCATCTAGATTTGAGACTTAGTAATTTAAATTTAGCTAGGAGGCCTTGATACGATAAGTATGTATGAAAACATCTATAGTTTAGGCAACGAAGATATCTTTCTTGTACAGCTTCTATTGATTTTATATATTTATTATAGAAAGGATTCCAAATAGGCACAGCATATTCGAGTTGCGAACGAACTAGGGTTTTATACAAATAGAGGTAAGTGGTTGGATTTTTAAATTCTGCACTGGAACGCATGATAAATCCGTATATTTTAAAAGATTTGTTTATAATGTTGTCAATGTGTAAATCCAGGTGTAGCTTACTGTCTAAGGTAACTCCCAGGTCTTTAATATAATTAACATTATCTAAGGTCACGCAATTCAAGTTGTAGTTAAATTTACTTATAAGTTTCTTTTTAGTAAATTGAGGGCGAAAATTATTGAGGGCGAAAGCTCGTTCCTTAGCTGTGTTTTGTAAAGAATACTAATAGTATATACACATAACAATTTTGTGACCAATCTAATAAAAAGACAGTATGCCAGTATAGAATGACAGTAATTTGGCTATGAAAATGTTGGACCATTTCTGTCACTCTTTATGATGACACAATCAATCCTAGTTTATGTATTTTTCTGAAGAAATGCTTACTGAAAATTATAAACTCTTGTCTTTATAACTTTCAACCAATTAACAGTATCGAGTGCAGTCTTTCAGTGTTTAATCGCGTGTATTAAAACGGTATAACTCAGATCGCGTGATAGCTGACTTTTATTTGTTTTAATTCTTTCCAGTGACAATGTTAACACGTTGTCCGCGGCGTGGGCAGCGCTGTAATGCGATATCTCGCCTCAAGTGCTAAATGAATCACGAACGTGGCCGTGCGTGCTCTTGTATGTCTCAGTCAAAGAATTTAATACGCTTCCCACTTAATTAAAGCTATATTTTTTTATTGTACAAAAACACAATTTAAATAAATACACAAATATGGTCCCGCAAAAACTATATGATTGGTTTGTTGCAGTGTTACAATATTATGTAGAGTGTAAAGTGTGGTAGTGGAGTGTGGATATAGAAACAATTTTTTATGTGTGAAATTATATAAAATACATACATTACATAATATACTGTATATAAATAAAATACTCTATTCATGGGCTATTTTTAAAAAGATGGTTTTCCAAACGCTTAAGAAACAATTTAAATTTCCAATTTAGATTTGATAATTCAAAACGTATCATGATTTGAACGTAATAGCAATGTGAGTGTTAAATTATTTTAAAAAAATAGATAATAAAACATTGTGCTCGACTGTACACATTGATCTATGAAATGTTCACACAATGTGATGTACAGTTATGACACAAAGTGTTGTTACAAACTCTATTACTTTTACTGAGACTTGTATGTTCGCTATAAACTATTTTATGAGAATTAAAGATTCCTGTTACGTACTTGATGATGTAATAAAAAAAGTACTTCGAAAACAACAGATGTCCCACTTATTCGGATTACGAGATAAGTTTTTAAGAAATCTATATTTATCCTTTTCCACGTAATTGTAACAGTTGCACGAATTTAATGGTTGTTTTTTTAATTATGCATCATAACATCATCATCATCACCAGCTCACTATACATCCCCACTGAGGGGCTCGGAGCCTATCCTGAAGTTAGGGTGACTAGTCCATAGTCAACCATGCTGGCCCATTGCTGGTTGACTTCACACATATCTTTGAATTACTTCTCCCACATGTGCAGGCATCACGATGTTTTCCTTCACCGTTAGAACGTCCGGTAAATTATGTACATATGAAAATTCTAAAAATCACATTGGTACATGGCG